AACTTCAAGATCAGGATTATGCACCTCTATGATCAGAATAAAACGACCTTCCATGAGACATAGAATGTCTTGCAGATAATACAAATCATTATCTTAAGGAAAGATCACTAAAATATATTTCCTTTTACTGTAAATATAAAATTGCAATCAAGAACAAAACCCAGACTGTGAGAGACTGTATAGGATAAACAACCTGATTTCTTCAACAAACATCAATAAATTGTAAGGAAGAATAAAAAGAGAAAGATAAGCGGAAACCAATGGTTTAAAGGAGACTTTTAAAAACTTAGTAAAAGAAAAACAAAAACCTAAACACACAAAACTAAACTCTAGGACACACTTGGGTGATAAAACTATAAACAAAATTAAGGAAAAAATAACCACAAAAGTCAGGATAGTGTTTACATGTCTTACAAGAGGAGGAGGGAGGGACCTGGGCTTGGGAAGCAGCACATGGAAAAGTGGGCCAAGGTCTTTTTTTTTTTTTTTGCGGTACACAGGACTCTCACCACTGTGGCCTCTCCCGTTGCAGAGCACAGGCTCCAGACGCGCAGGCTCAGCGGCCGTGGCTCATGGGCCCAGCCGCTCCACGGCATGTGGGATCCTCCCAGACCAGGGCACGAACCCGTATCCCCTGCATCGGCAAGCGTCCTCCCAACCACTGCGCCACCAGGGGAAGCCCTTCAAGGTCTATTTCCTAAACTGGATAGTGGTTATCGGGTGTTCACCCTTTAGTCATTTTTGTATCAGTGTTATATTTTACAATTAAAAAGATTTTAAAAATAAAATTGCAATCTAAAAGATTCACCAAAGTAGCTATTAAGTATTTTTTTCATGAAAATGTCTTCCTTTTCCTACATACATACTCACACCCTTAAATCAAATGCACTGCACCTGAATTTTCACAAATAAAGGTTCCATGACACCTGAGAAGAGTCATTTACCAGACTGGTTTCTAGCCATTGTTTAAATCAGACTTGATAATTACTTTGATTTTAATTTTGCATCCTCAAGATCAATATGATTGGGCTTCACTGGTGGTGCAGTGGTTGAGAATCCACCTGCCAATGCAGGAGACATGGGTTCGAGCCCTAGTCCGGGAAGATCCCACATGCCGCGGAGCAACTAAGGCCATGCGCCACAACTACTGAGCCTGTGCTCTAGAGCCCATGAGCCACAACTACTGAGCCTGTGCTCTAGAGCCCATGAGCCACAACTACTGAGCCCGTGTGCCACAATTACTGAAGCCCAAGCACCTAGAGCCCATGCTCCACAACAAGAGAAGCCACTGCAGTGAGAAGCCCACACACCACAAGGAAGAGTAGCCCCCCACTTGCCCCAACTAGACAAAAGCCTGTGCATGGCAACAAAGACCCAACACGGCCAAAAATAAATAAGTAAAATGAATAAATTTATATGAAAAAAAGATCAATATGATTATGTTTGTGCCAACTGACAAAAACAAAAAGTTCTTACCTACAGTTTTGCTTTGATCGCATATACCCTTTCAAACACTTCAATGCCAGGAGAAAAGCCAATTTAGAAAAAAATTCATAGGCCTCTTAGGGAAGGTGTTATGGGCTAAATTTTATATTGTATTCACCTAAAATTCGTGTGTTGAAGTCCTAACCCCTAGTACCTCAGATTATAACTATATTTGGAGATAGAGTTTTTCAAGAGGTAATTAAGTTAAAATGAGGTCATTAGGGTGGGCCCTGATCCAATACGACCGGACTGGTGTCCTTCTAAGAAGAAATTAGGATACAGATACACACAGAAAGAAGATCATGTGAAGACACAGAGAGAAGACAGCCATCTGTAAGCCAAAGAGAGAGGCTTAAAGAAACCAACCCTGCTGACACCTTGATCTTGGACTTCTAGCCTCCAGAACTGTAAGAAAATAAAATAAATTTCTCTGTTCAAGCCACCGGTCTATGTGACTTTGTTATGGCAGCCCTAGCAAACTAATGTAGAAGGTAAAAGAGGAATAAAATATTGGTTTTTTTTTTTAAGTAGTACAGGGAAGAAAAAGAAAAATATGAAATGTTATAATTTTACAGTTTTACTCGACTCATAATGTATAGTAAAAAGAGAAACTTAAGAAAATTCTGAGTCATTAGTAAAGAATGGAGATCTAACAGACTCCATGTAAAAAGAAACACCCAAAGAGCTAAGCACAGAGGGCAAGACATGAGGAAACCAGCAGGAAAATAACTGGCTACTGACTTTGATTTGATGGGACAGGACTCAACGCTTTCAATATGGTTTCTGGAAAAAACCCAGAGGAGAGTTTTGAGTTTTAAATGGACTAAAAACAAATTGAGGTGATAGGTGAGATCAAAGTGGTTTTCTTAATGGGAGAAATTCCTCTGGCTCTAGGGTTTGGATGAAGTTTGGATTTACATTTCCCTGGTTGAATAGGCTTGGGAGTTAGGCAAACCATCAAGGAAGCAATTCTCAGGCTGGAAAATCAGCAGTGGTTGTGTGGTAAAGTCCGTGTTCTGGGTGTTATATATACCCATGGAGCCTAATGATCTGAGTGGACTATGCTTTGTTGATTACTATAAGCTTCCTGCAAAGGGATATTACTGTAGAGACAGCAGATAGCTATTGCTGGATCCACCCTCCAAAGCTCCATGCTTATATTTGCATTTCATCATTCCACTGACAGACATAAACGGAAATAAATAGTGAACTGCCTGTTTCCTCTCTTCTCTAATTTAGCAAAGGAATAAGATACACTCTGCATTCCGAAAAGCATCATACAAAATAGAAAATGAAATCAAATAAACAAGGATGAGAGTAAAAGAAGTCCAGAGACTCTAAATCTAGTTAAACATTTTTTCAGCTATAAGCAAACTGGCTCCATTTTCTTATGTCATACTAAGAAGAATCCTAATATGCTTTCTCATGTAACGCAGTGATATAAATCAATCAAAAATTCAATTACTCAGTTTTCAAATAAGTTTAGAATAACTTTCTAGAGGGACTGGCATAATTATTATATCTAGATCACTTGTAAAAATTAACATTTTGCTTTAAGTGTTTATCGTTTAGAGATGTATAGATGTGTGAAGATTTATTTCCTGGGAAAAATGTCTGGAATTTGCTTTTGTAGAGGAAAAAAATTTGCCACCCCAAAATGTCTCTTTGGCATATGGATTATTTGGAGCTGAAAATAATCAAGACCCCAAAAGACTCAGGAAGAAACTTGGACCTTCCCTAAAACTACCCAAAGAGTGTGGTTAGAGGACCTGTTCCAGGAAGGGAGCCATCACCACAGATGACTACAGGATGAACTAGGTGTGTAGACGGGGAGGAACCTAGCAAAGTCTGTTGCTAAAACTCCTCTCTGTGTCCCATTGTCTCTATGTGGCCCAGCAAACATCTGGTTACCAAACATTAGCTTTTCCATCTCCATGTGAATTGCCTTCCCCCTCTTTGAGGTCCCAAACCACTACCCTCAACATCTTTTGTCTTTAGCTGAAGATGGTATTTAAGGTGAGGCTTTCAGCCTTTTTAGTGAATTACTCATTTCTTGGTCTCTCCCATGTATACATGTTATCAAACTTTTGTTTGATTTTTGTCCTGTTAATTTGTCTTACGTATATTTAATTCACAGAGCAGCTAGAAGAACCTAGAAGGGTAGAGAAAAATTTCTTCCTCCTGACAGTTTAAAATACTACACACATGTAGAGAGTGAAAAGATTATCAAAATGTTTATAACTACTGATGCTGGATAATGGGTATGTAAGAGTTCATTGTAGTATTCTTTTTACCTCTGTATATGTTTGAGATGTTCCAAAATAAAAAGTTTTCTTTTTTTAGTTAACATATAATTGCAAAATCCAATCCCCTTCACTTGTCACCAGACTAGGACAATGTAATTTATTTTGGTTATTGATAACAGAGTTTAATTTAAATAAAACGGTTTGTTACAGTAATACATTTAAATTGAAAAGCAGTAGACATAAGTTTAAAGGAAAGTAACTTTAGATAATGTTTACAATACAATGTTTACTGTTAAAAAGCAAGATACAATATTGTAAATATGTATGACACCAACTCTGTAAAATATGAAAATATAAATACATGCACAGGACAAAAAAAATACTAGAAGGAAATACAACAAAATGAAAACAAAGTTTATCTGTCAGTGATGAGTTTATGGATGATTTTTCCTTTTTTGATACATTTTTCTCCACTAACAAGTTTTCTAAAATGAGTACAAATTAAATGAATAATCAGAAAAAGAAAGCAAATATACATATTTGTCATATATATATATATATATATATATATATATATATATGGCATCATAATTCTGATAAGGCAGAATAGATAGTCTGAATGCTGTTCAGAAGAAAATAAACACTTAGCTAAAACTCTTTATACTAAACATTGGCTCTAAAGAAACTCTTGGGTGGGGTTTGGTCTCATATGCCTCAGACAACATCATCACTGATATGAAAGACACATACATTCTTATGCCTGTAACTGGAGAAATTTTTTTTTTTTGGTATGTAATCTTTTTCAGAACTTATGTGACAAGAACCAATATCTTGAGATTTTTCTCCAGGGATTTAAAACTCCCTGGGACATCCCTGTTGACATAATAAGTTCATAATTTTACCGGAGAAATCTTTCCCAAATGAATGCAAAGCCAGGCACCTAACCTGGACCCAAGATTTCACCTCTTGATTCTCAGTGCTAACCTTAAAAGCAAATTTCATAAATTATTTTCTGTGACATAATCTAAAAGAGAACTACTTGCAGTAATATTAATCCCACAAAGCATAACTCCAACAATTCCGGTAGTACAGTAAGAATTCATTTTCTGGTAACTAAATATTTTTCCCTAAGCCAGTGACACCCTCTCTTGATAAATTCTGAAATATAAAAACCCCAAAACTACATTGGAAGTATCACTGAAGATTAAAATCATAATCAGTACTTAGAAGATTCTCAGAAGTTTCCCCCAAGAGAAAAATTTTACTTACTTTCACTTCCACAGTCTTCCCTCCATGTTCAATGTGTCTCTCCACGTATTCAGAGGACAGCAAATCACTGCAACAGAAAGAAATGATGATGAAAGAGGACCCTGAAAATGTAAATCATTTGAAAATCACCATTAAGTTTACAACATTCCAGCTTGAATGATTCTTTTGGTTTGTTTTTTCTTTTATAAAGTTATTTATTTTATTTATTTATTTTTGGCTGCGTTGGGTCTTCATTGCTGGGCACGGGCTTTCTCTAGTTGCGGGCGAGCGGGGGCTACTCTGTTGCAGTGGGCGGGCTTCTCACTGCGGTGGCTTCTCTTGTTGCAGAGCACGGGCTCTAGACGCATGAGCTCAGTAGTTGCGGCTCTAGGGCTCTAGAATGCAGGCTCCGTAGCTGTGGCACATGGGCTTAGTTGCTCCACAGCATGTGGGATCTTCCCGGACCAGGGCTCGAACCCGTGTTCCGTGCATTGGCAGGCGGATTCTTAACCACTGCGCCACCAGGGAAGCCCAGCTTGAATGATTCTTTAATCCAGATTTTAAAACAAAAATAAAACTTTATAGGTTCCTTCTCTCTCTCTCTCTCTCTCTCTCTCTCTCTCTCTCTCTCTCTCTCTCACACACACACACACACACACACACACACACACACAGCCTAGTACTTGTAAAAGGATATGAGGCTAAACTGACTAAATCACCTGTCACCCCGTTGCTTAGCAGAGCTAGTTCCACCGATCTAGTTCAGCAATTCTAGGAAACTACCATTATTTTTAAGACATCTTATTCTTCCCTTTTTTACTTCAGCTTTTTTGTGTGTGAAGATTTTAAGTTTTTATTATACCTTACATCCTTCTGTGCTGTTTCTCTCCCCTAACTTTTGAATAGTGGGGTACTCCTAGGAGGCTTAGGCTCCCTACATTCCTTGGTGCTTTTTTCCTATCTCATGTCTTTAAGTATTAAGATGTTGTCAATTTCTAAATATATATTTCCAATTCAGACCTTTTCTCAAACTGTAGATGTAACTGCCTACTGGACATCACTGCTTAAGTATCTAATAGGCATCTTAAACTTAACATGCCAAGGCTGAATTCTCTGACCCTCACCCATTCCCCACCACCTGCTCAGCCCACAGTCTTCCACAACAGCTAACATCAACACCATCATTTCAACTGCTTTGCCCAAAACTTTGAAATTATTGACTCTTCTCACACCCTACATCCTTGCTTTAGCTTTTTATCAAACACTTTTGATTTACTACCATACTTTACCATTTCTCATATGTTACATGTGATATTTTATCTAACAAAATATTAGTTTCCCCACAAAAAAATTAAACAGAGGCAAAGAAAGTTAGAAGAAATGAAAAAGAAAATACTTTCAGCATTTTAAAATAAACTTTTTTGAAATCTCTCCTAAACAACCACCAGCTTCTTGTATAATTTTTAAATGTTTTACATCATCTTAAACATACTTCTCTTTAATTCTATATAAGAGGAAAAAATTTCCCCTTTAACAGAGGCACCTCAAGGCACAACTCCAATAAACAGTCTTAAAGTCTTTAAATTTTTAAAGCAGTAAAATGTAGATAAAGTTCACATTAATAAATAAAAATATAAACTTCTAAATCTACCCCTCTATTAATAAACATTCACCCAACTAAAAAACTGTGCTTCACAGTGCTCTGAAGGTCACCATCCAAAATTGTTCCAATCATAAAAAAAGGTGAATTTCTAAGCACAAGAGATACCATGATAAGCACTATGCCTACAGTTGCTTGGAATGTAAACAGAAAGATCAAACACGCATTACATTAATGCAGGCACGAGAGTCAGTTTCTTATAGTATCTGATGCTTACATTTCTATCTAGGTAACCTATAATTATAGTCTAAGTCCTTGTTTCATTTGTCTCTGGAATACATTTTCCTATTGACTTTACGGGGGAAACAGCTAGAATGCTCTAAGCTGCAAGTTGTAGAAAACACAACTAAAAGTGGCTTAAACAATCAGGACATTGATATCATTTCTTGTTAGAAATTCCAGGGCAGGTGTGATGTGAATTTGCTTCTGCAACTCTTCAATTCTGGTAGGTGAATACATTTAAAGTTTACAAAATATAAGCAAAACACTTTTTAAGATGTTTTAAGTATAGATAAGTAGCTACTAAACAAAATTTTGTTAGATGTGGGCAGAATGCATAAGACGCGTAAAGCATAAGTAAGAAGATCATATGTGTACCTCACATTGATAGAAAGGAATGGATGACCAAAAGATATGTAACATTTTCAAGGCACCTGGGTAATAAGTGTTCATGATATAACAAATATATAAAAGACACTATATATGCAAGATATGCTTATACATAAACAGTTAATATTTATGAGGTCTTATTTCAACCACCTATTGGTAACACCCAGGATTTCTCAACTTCCACAATACTGACATTTCAGGCCAGATAATTCTTTGTCTTGGGAAGTATCTTATGCATTGTCACATGATTAGCAGCATCCATGACCTCCACCCACTAGATGCCACATCACACACACATACACACACACACACACACACACACACACACACACACACACACACACACCAGCCATGACAATCACAAACGTCTCCAGACATTGCCAAATGTACACTGGGGGGTAAAACTACCCTGGTTAAGAACTGCTACTGACACCCGTTCCTGCTCCGTGTTTTCTCCAAACCAACAGAATTCATGGTTGTTCATCAAGCTAATTGGCAGGCTGCAGGTCCCGACCAAGCATATTTGTCCCTGTGTCTCTCAGATACAGCAGGTAGGTGTGATTAGCTCAGGCCCCCTTGCATCTGTGGAGCTTGCCCAAACCTCATCTCTGGTCCCTGTAACTACATATCAGCAGGGAAGGCAGATGCAGCAGAGAGAGAAGCAGATCCTAAGAATACAGTGTATCCCAGTACACATTAGCTGGAGTGGTCCTTCCACCCCACTCGCACCCTATCTTAAGTGTGCTAACCTACCCTTTTCTTTCCTCTTGCTTCTCACTGTGTGCTTTAATTTGATTTAGCAAATCATGTGATTTGAGGATTTTAATTTGGTCTGTGAGGGCTTGCTGTTTGTTCCCTTACTTCTGGGATAGCTTGCTAGCTAGTATACTTGTAGGCAACCATTGCAGCAGAGTAATTTTCCACTGGACATCACAGCGGTTCCAGGGCTGGTTCATGTGGTAGCTCAGCACCATTAATGAGACCAGGAGCATGTCCATCCTTCTGCTCTGCCATCAGAATGGTGGGTGACGTGTACTTGTAACTGGCTCCTCTCATGACCCTAACATGGCTGCTGCAGATCTAAGCATCTCATGCAGATAAAGATATTCCAAGGTAAAAAAGCCTCGTATTTCCTTACAAGAGTCAGCAAACTCTTCACAAAAAGCCTCTAGCATTCATCTTCTCAAGTATGTTTTGCCAGGATTACATTACTTGGCCCTGCCAAAGCCAGTCTTTTGACAAGGACATTTGTCTCTGAACAATCAAGATTCTCCTCTCCCTCTCTCTCCTCCTCCCATGAACATCAGGACTACTCAGAGAGAGGCAAACAGCACTACAGGGTGGAGAGAACAGCTGTTGTATAGCCAACAGACAGCTGTCTTTTTTTTTAAGTATAATTTTAATCATGAGTATGTTGGATACTTCACAAATTTCCCAAGGTTTCGAACAAAATAGTGAAGCTTCACGATCAAGATCTGCTGAAGCAAAACCTGTCATTGCTCCACCATCCACATCCCACTCTTTATCCAAGACCACACCCCCAACAGGAGAGGTACCAGAAAGATGTCTGCAAAAAACTGCCCCCTAACCTCGCTATCAGTCTCCAACAACTTCTCCAGCAGTGAGAGCGAAAAATTACCCTACAGAGTCAGTGTTTATGAGCAGAGCCAGCCAGATTGCCTCTCTTGGGAATCTGAACTAGTAAATTCAGAAAAAAAGAATCATTCAGTGGATGAAGAAAAGAGAAACAGAAAGTCAAAAATAAGCAGTCACTTGAGAGAAACTGGGCTGTGCCAGTGGTGAATCCTGTTACCCGAAAAGTGGTTCCTCTCTTGGTGGATCTCAAGCCAAAGAGTGGGAGAAGGAAGAATTTATTACTTGCAGCAAGTAAGGAGAACACCAGAGATCTTTTCCAAAGCAGTGTCTCCCCCAAGAGCAAAACTGGGGAAGTTTTAAGCTAAGGTTACATGCATATTCATGAAAGGGCTTGAGGTGAAGAAAATTCAGCATAGAATTGGGGCAATGGTCAACAGATTCCACACTTTAGTTGATTGAAGTCATGAGGGTCAGAAAAGGTCAACATCATCATTCCTTAGGTTCCATTCGGATCAATCGGGTGGTTGAGTGCTCCAGGGGGATTTAAATTCTTCAAAACAGCTCAAGAAAGTGCTTGAGGCTAATCTTTACCTCTGAAACAGAACTAGGAGTCTTTACAACTGATTTATTATCTTTGCTATTGTTACTTCTCTTGCCTGAAAACAGCTTACTCTTTGTTCCCTTAAGATCATTATTACTGAGATCTATTCAAGGGTAAGCACTGTGGCCAGGCTTAGATCATAAATGGCTTCTATGTCAAAAACCTATATCTAGTCTTTTCCTCCAGCCCAGCCCTGATGTTGGATACCTTTCTCCTTCACTGCCCTGTGAGTAAACCCCCATTACTGGAGCCAGCAGGAATGGGA